CGGTGATGTACAACCCCCAGAGTCCAGAGCAATACCAGGGTGTCAAGGCGTGTGTTTCGAGGATGATGAAGCGGGCACTTGAGATGGAGGGAACAGTTTCTGTAAGAGTTATTGTTCCTACATGACGTTTTAACACAAGTCTGACTGAAACAGGGCGAACATGGCATCGGATTAGGAAAGAAGGTCAGCAATCCCTCATCCCGTGGTGTCATATCCTCAACGCTAACATACACCAGGCATATCTTGAGGAGGAACTCGGAACACCGACGATGCAATTAATGAGAGGACTGAAACGGAGCGTTGATCCTCAGTAAGGACATCCTGTTGTCTGTCTCCTTAAATGCTTACTAATCCTTTTTAGCTGGCTGATGAATCCCGGAAAGGTCTTTGACGAGCACTATGAGGGATAGGATCACACTATCCGCAATATTTGGGCTCGGTGTACACACTAAAATATGATGGTATGATCTTGATGCTGCAGTTCACCAGTCCTGGTGACAGTGTAAATCTAAAATACCCATGTGGATCGATCCACATCTGTTTGCTAAGCAGATTGGGGCAACGGTTACTGCATGTGATCCCCAAGGTCATCGAGATACGTAGCAACTTCAATGATACGCAGAAGTAGTTTAGATGTCTTTTCTCAGGAAAATCAGGCCAACCACAGGTTGCCTCGCGCAGGGATTTCCGCATGTAGTTTAGTGTCCGCTAAGCTATTTCCCGTCCCACCGCGCCAAGGCAGCGAGGATTACAAACAGTGACTACAGATGATGTCCTCGAAGCGGAATCTAGTCCTAAACCGGCAGGCAAGGGAAGAGACGCAGAGTGCTTTGAAATCATTAATCCATTTCATTAACACCTCACATACATAGTGTACTTCTCACTATCTAAGGAGTTTCTGCAACATTGTACACCAGCTTCTCACCACTGACCTTATCAGCCTTAAGCAGCTGCAACCCCTCCAACACACCCTTCAAACCCTCCCCACGCACACTAGGCCGATGCACCTGAATCTTGCCCTCAGCCAAGAACTTCTGCGCAATATCCCAGAACTTGGCAGCAAATTCCTTATCCTCGGGCTTGGCCGGGAACGGCGTGTCACCAAACATGAACTCCTCACCCACAGCAGTATACGCCAGAGTCCACCGATCATTGACATTCTTCCGCTCAATCCCCACCGCCAAAAGCGCACTGTACTCACCACCCTCGGTGGAAATGGCCTCATCACAGAACTTGGCACTCGCCTCCAACGAAATGGTATCCAACACCAACTTCAACTTGTTATCCGTAGCCTTCCGGATCTCCGCCGCCGCATTCGGCGCATTGTAATCAAACACCTCATCGGCACCCAGACTCTTCACCAGGTCGAAGTTCCTTGGCGAGCACGTAGTCAGCACCTTGTACCCGGACAACTTGGCGAACTGGATCGCCAGTGCTCCTGTCGCCGTCGAGCCACCGTAGATGAGAATCGGGCCTGCGTTGCCGCCCTTAGCGGGCTCGGTGGGCAGCTCCAGCTTCAGACTCTGGTACAGAGCCTGACCGACGGTCGTGATACCAACACCGAGAGTGGCCGCCTCCTGGAAGCTCAGGTTATCCGGGATATGCATCTGGATGTCGCCCTTGGCGACGATGTATTCGGCGAAAGTGCCGTCTTCGGGCTGCACGGCGTTGGCGCCGTGGACGAACCCGCACACCCGGTCACCCTTCTTGAAGGGCTTCTTGACGGCAGGGCCGACTTCCTCCACGATACCGGCGTAGTCACAGCCGACGAGGACGCCGGTGGGCGCGAGATACTCGATGTGCTTCCAGTCCGTGGGGTTCAGGGCCACGCTGACGGTCTTGATGAGGATGTAGTCGTCGCGGAGCTTGGGGATGGGACGGTCGGTGACCAGGTCGCCCTTCTTAGGGGCGGTGACGGCGATAGCTTTTTGAGGCATGGTGGGATGTTTTGGTAATATGTTTGGTTTGGTTGAGTGGATAGGAGGGTGTTGGTGGTGAAGAGTGAGGGGAGGAGGTATCCTATATATGTGTCTCTGGTATCATGAGCAAGAAGCACCAAGAAGGCGGTAGAATGGGATGCAACACCCCTCTTCACCCTTTTGTTTGTCGATGACAAATGCAACTTGTGAGATCATCTTTCTCCACTTGGGCCCACAGGTCCCGAGAGGGACGCCGTTGGGTCTGGTTGGGTGTGAGCCAATTCATTAGGTTGTTGCCAGCAGCCCGGATCCGGAATTGGCGAACTCTATTGCTACTGAGTATTGCGGGTATGAGTGATTCGCTGGTGCTCTTGGGGAAGGAACTGGTTTGAGCGGTGCAGTGTACAGTATATGCATTCCATACAGGTTGACTGGTATCTAACCAAAGTGTTGTCGAGCGAGGTACTGAGACAAATCTCTGCATGGTCAACTCTGGTATGCAATTGAGTGCTGACATCGAAGAAAGAGACTCATCTCTCAGGGCCAATGGACGCAACTAGTCTAACGGCGTAACATTGAGTTTTAAGCTACTTTCCGAAAGTGGTTTAGATCCCGCTCCGCGCAGATATTCAATCCCGGAGATCCTCCCCAGGACACTAGCAGTAAGCACTATATTGTAGGGTGATCGCAGAATCATAGGGTCCAGAAATTTCCATTCTGCTGATATATTCACCTTGAGTGAATTCTTTGCGTAAATCTGTACCTTGCTGATTAATGGACATCCTGGTTCTCTCAGGGGCGTGTGCTATGGGAGGGTTAAAGATGGTTTCAGTTTTCGGTAATAAATAGATAGCACTACTATAGTGTGAGCTTGTCTTCTCTTGTACCATCATAGACAATCTCGCAGTTGAGCAAAATGCAGGTCACTCACATTGTCCTACTCCAATTCAACCCCGACGTTACTTCCGAGGTTAGGGGGGATGTACGTTGTTCCTACACGTCTTACTGCACTTCATACCCCAAAATTCTAGACATCTAACTCGATCATCTTGTAGGTTGCAAGTCAAGTCAGAGGCCTACGCGAGTCGTGCATCCACCCGGACACTGGCAAGCCGTACATCGTTTCCATGAAGGCTGGCGCTGATATTTCCATCGAGGGTCTTCATGTGAGTGTTGCCACATTCTTCGAACCGCTGAGTTGTAAACGCAATCCCTGACTTTCGATGAGTAGAATGGCATCAGCCATGCATTTGTCTCCGTCTTCGAAAATACCGCGGACCGCGACTACTTCGTGAACAAAGACCCGGCGCATATCGCGCTCGTGCAGAATGTCAAGCATCATCTGGCTAAGGTTCAGGTTGTGGACTTTGTTGATGGGAAGCTTATTTAGGTGTTCTATTGGGCTTCTGGGTAGAACACCGAGATTTTGGTCGTATAAGATGTTTTTATTAGAGAAATTGCAAGTAATAGTGTTAGAATCAGCGGGTCGTATACAAGTAAGAATATATATAAACCTAATGCGGTACATTCGGTCCGTATGGACCCAAACAAAATACGAGGAAAATCATTCTACGGACGATGATCAGAGTACTACTAAGATATCAGGCCTAACTCTAGACATATTTAAGCACAACAAGATGTTCTACAACCATGTTCAAGGCGAAAGACACCGAATTCTTGACCACTATGACCATCAAGGGGGGGGCAAGACAACATATTGATGCAGCGTCCTTCATAATCCAAACTCCAGCGGCAGATTAATAATAAGCCCTTGTAGCTCAGTGGTAGAGCGCTTCACTCGTATCATGTCATGAAGAGGTCCGCGGTTCAATCCCGCGTGGGGGCACATTTCTTTTTTCATTTTCTCGGGTAGCCAGCAAGCTAGCTAGCTTCCCTCTTTTTTTTTGGCCTTCAACGGGTAGATGCAGCCACGCTAAGGGAGGAAGTAAGGCGGTGGCAAATACATATCCGCCCTTATAGCTCAGTGGTAGAGCGCTTGACTTGTAATCAAGAGGTCTGTAGTTCAATCCTGCATGGGGGCATCGGATATTTTTCTTTTTTGGCTTTCCCCACCTCCCTCTATCTTCTTTTATTCTGTCGCCTACTTTGTTGTGACCGTCACACTGAGGGAAGGAATTGACCTCGTATTTTTATATATATATATTTTTTATATATTTTACTTCCTTGATTAACAAACAGCAATAAGCCCTTCCTGCGAACAACACATGTCCATTGAGTTCCAGTAGATAAAATTGCTATGTCAATACAAAAAACCCGTGTATACCCCCTGTTGCTATGTACCCGTCCCATCAAACGGTCGGCTACAAAGTGGACAGCAAAGTGCACTCTGAATGCAGCTCCGACAGTAAATTGCAGTATTTTTCGACGACCCATCTTTTCCCGCGATCATCGGACAGTTCCTGCATTGTGCACTCTTCCTCAAGGTCTCTGTATCCAAACAAACATCGCAATGCTCGTAAAATGGCGCCTGCGGTAGCATATAGCGGGCAAAAGGGAGGGTGTTTATATGGACTAGATCCTCCCCACGTTGACCAATCTTGGCTTTGAGAAGGTCGGTAATCTCCCTCCAGGGCTTTGCATCGGTTATGCCTGGCATGTAGAAAGTGTTGTATTTGATAGCGCTAAGGGATACTTGTCTTCGATATGACTCCTGTAGCGGAGAAAATCCCAATCTGTCTTCGATATGAGTTTCAATGCTGGGGTGGTCAAGCAGAATTTTGACCACCTTGACCTGGCCCATGCAAATGGCTGCGAAAAGGGGTGTTCGGCCGAAAATGTCTTTGGGGTTGGGGTCGCATCCGGTCTCCAAGATGCGCTGCACAAGGGTAATGTCGCCTCGCGATGCTGCCCAGTGTAATGGCAGACGGTGGAACTCGTCTAGGAAGCTGGGGCTATTGGATTCTTTGAGAATTGCCTCGATCGCATAGTTATCTCTCTTCAAGTCAGCCTTTGTCAAACAAGATAGTCCCCAGAAAGATGCGGAGACGTCTGTGTCCCTCATCAACCTGGGGGAGCCTGCACCTTTTGCAATAAGAAGCCTGGTTATTTCGACATAACCCTTTTGTGCCGCAGCTGTCAATGGGTCTGCTGAAAGGTGTTTCCATCTATCGGTGCTGTGTATTCTGGCGCCCCAATCGAGTAACAATTCAACAGCACGCAGGTTACCATTTGCCGCCGCTGTGAACAAGGGGGTTTCCCACTGCTTGTTCTCTTGATTGATGTTGGCTCCTGCATCTCGTAGAACTTTCATGACGTGTGCATGATCGCCCATGCTGATAGTCGATATAGGACCCCGTTGAATTCCAGCGCCGCTCTTTGCTGCAAAGAATATAGGAGTTTCCTTGTTAGCATTCTCATAATGAACATTCGCACCTCGGTCAATCAGCAGACTGGCCACTTCATTGTAACCATATGCTGCGGCGTAGAAAAGAGGTGTGAAGTTCTCGGATGTAGCAGAATCGACAATAGCTCCACGATCAAGTAGAAACTCAACAATTGACTTATTACCAAATCCTGCTGCCCAGGTGAGAGGTGTATGACCAAGGTAGTCCTGAGTATTTACTGAGTTGCTGTCGACCCCGACAAGTTCTTCCATGCACTGATCTAGGCCGAAGACTGACGCGAGATGGATCCCAGAAAAACTGTAAGGAGTCTCCGACAGGCCGAACATCTCTCGCATACACCGTGTAACTTTGGCATCATTTTTGATAAATGAAGCAAGAAGCGTATTGCTGCCCAAGCTTTGGTGGAGATGCGTCCCTAGCTCATGAGCAGAATACTGATAAAGCGGGTACTCTTGCCGATGCTCTTGACGGCCACTTTCTAATAAGGCTTGCTGCTCAAAGGCGTCGAAGGACACGTATGTGAGGCAGGTGTTTGTGAGGTATTCATGGACGGTGGGAAACCAAGCCTCCCGCATCCGCTCCAAGTACTCCTGGGCAGTAAGATGCACGAGCTTCGCCGTGTTGTTGTTTTCGTCCACCGTGACCAATCCGCAGCAGACAAAAGCGATTTCCTCAATATCTGTGACATTCATTGCGTCAAATTCGGGCTCACCAATTTCAACCGCAATAGCATGTTGTAGCTCTAGAGCGCTAAGTGGTCGTGCAGAGAACGTGAGCCACCCGAGTACTCTTTTGGCAAGGTCCTGAGAGAAGAAGCTTTGCAGGTTAATCCTCTTCATTGTCTCGTTATACGCATGGTCATAGGCCCCTGACCCTGACTGGAACTGACCACCCAGTGCTCGGACTCTTTTCTCATTCTTCTCATCCAGGATCAAGTTGTAATAGAGACGGACAAGCAAGAATCTAGACGAGTCAGTAACATTCCGATATCTCGGAACCGTGTCACTCACATTCCATCAGCCGATTCGAGAATCTGCCTTCTAACATAAGCCCAAAGCTCGGGCTTCCTTCGAAGGAAACGCGGAAGATAGTCAAGATTTCCGTCGAGAAAACTTTCCATGTCGCCTTCGCTGGCTTGAATGTCCAAGATAACACCTCGAGACAACAGATGACTGAAATAATCGCCCGGTCGGGCAGTCACAAGGAGCTTGACCTTCGTGCGACCGCCGATGTCAAGAAGTTTCGTAGCCCAAGCGAGGAATTGACGCCTCACGTATACGTCGTTACACACATCCAGTGCATCAACGACTAGCAGCACCTCACTGCATTCAGACACTGCCACACTGAATATCTTTTCGATATCTTCTTGGGCCAGACGGGTGGACCTGGGCGGGAGGAGGTAGCGTCTTGTTGTGATATTCTCATACAAGCTTTGATTTCCCTGAAGTAACTGTCTCAGGAGGCTTGAAAGAAGCTCAGAATACTCAATCCGCTCCTGATAGTGGAAATAATGATAAGCAACTGCGACACTGCTATTTAGGGAAAATTCCCGCTGAAGGTGGTCGACTGCGATCGAAGAAAGCACCGTCTTGCCTGCACCAGGAGCCCCGGTGCATAGAAGTGCCTTGCTCTTCTCATCAGAGATCCAAGAACGGAACTCTTCACTTTCCAGGAACCATTTACCCGTTCCCTCGTGCCGAGAGCTAATGATTTTGTGATGTCGCTCCGAGGCGTCAACAGGACATATCCATGCAAGCGTTTCATTGCGCTGCTGCAAATCGTGGTGGCCTTTCATGGACTGAATGTCTGCTCCGATCTCCAAGGTGAGATCTCTGCCGGATCATCATCAGCGAAGATCTCCCCAAAGTAAAACGGAGGTAATGTTAAATCGCAGCAGTAAGGGAACCAAGAGGGGATATTGCTCATACTGATTGATTTTGCCCATTACCAAATTCCACAGCGAGAGACAGTAAGTGATGCGGCTCCGCATGCTGTCCACCTCTGCAGGGTCCCATCTAACTCGACTCCATGCTCGGACAGCCTTTGTCTTCCAGTCCGAACTTGCAAAAGCAAGCACATTGTATTTGCTCAACTTGTGTTCGATCTCCAACAGGACTTCGCGGCCTCTCTGGACGATTATATCCAGTTCTGTTTTCTGGGTCGCACTGAGGCCTTCGTTAGGAATATCATTGAGATCATGAAGAAGCGCCCATAGGCTTTTTACACTATTGATGATGGTGAGCACTGCCTGAGAAGATAGAGTGCGGCTTCTTACTCTCCAGAGATAGCCTTGAAGCCACTCGGTGCCTGGGCGAACCGCTTCTTCAAGTCATCGGCGAGTTGCAAAGTAGCGAGGAAATCACCGACACCAAAGCCGAAGCTCATCGTGAACAACCAAGACAAATAACTCGAGCTCGTATGAGTTGATGGGATGCAGTCACAGGAAGGATGGTGTATTATAAGCAGGATGCGACAAAATGCGAATGAGCCGGAGGTGGCTGTGTTCAAGGGGGCTTAGCGCTTACGCATGACGAGTTTAGGGCACAGTTAGGGAAACTGCTGTGCTGTCATGTGGAACCAGGAAGAAATAATGGCTTATAGGGAGATATAACTGACAGATAATTTTCTTGAGCATATCTCAATTTAGGATATGTAGTGACCGCTGATTGACAGATTCCCCATTCTGACGATGTTGGAAGGAAAAAAAGGCACGAGTTTATATGAGGACCGCTGCAAGGCTGAAACGCAGCCTAATCTCCCGATCGCTTGACCTCGAATGAACACTGAGTTTGTATAAACAAGTGCTTTTAACTACTTAGTAGCCATACAAGATAAATTGTGCGCCAGACTAGATCATGCCCCCGTTGGGCTTGCTTGCCGTCCCTTGACATGCACCTACTGATCAACAGCAACGCACAGATAGTTTGCAAATATCTGCCGAATCTTGTGTTGGAATAGAGCGAAGTAGAAAGTACATTCAGAACTCTAGAGACCATCCAGTATCAGACCCCTGCTCAATCCAATTAATCCCTATAGTTTTGTATCGCATAGGTCGAGGGGAACTACGATATGCAAAAGAGTACTCTCATACAGGATTTCATAAAGATAATAATCGGCAGTATATTCTCCATGGCAAAAATGAAATAGCATGCCGAAATAGTTACCGCATGATGAGTGGTATATAACTAAGTAGTGATCGGGATGACTCAATGATCGCTTGATTTACTACCAGTTCTCACCTCTCCATTCCCGTCTCTGTTCTTTCCCATCACACACACCCATCAACTACACCAAGCTAGCCAACCTATTGACCCACAAAGCAATTTACGACGTGTTCACCGTACTCTTCACCGAAGCAGACAACCAGATCAGCTACCGAACACTTCATACTCATACCTTCGCAATGGAGAGATCTCCGTTGGGACAGCTGGGCAAGCTGCCCTACGAAATCCGACTGGAGATCTACGAGAAACTTTTTGCAAAGAAGACACCCCTGACGATTCTTCGCTGCTCACGAGCAATCCACGGAGAAATAACCAAACGCCTCTATGACACACTCAACATACATCTAACTCCGGTGTTCAACGACCCCTGGATCGAGGTTCGCTGCAAACGATTGCGATTGCGATGGACCATACCCAACCATTCCTGGATTGCCCAGGCTCGATTCTCATGGATACCATACCACAAGGTGAATCTGGTGATTCATATCTACGCACCCGACCCACGCAACCCTGGCCAAATAGCTCTGCTCTGGCAAAAGGTTCAATACTTGGTGTATATTCTTCAGAACCGTGCTGTTGCTTCCATAGTTATTCGATTGCGAGAGCATCAAGGTCGCGACTGGCAAGAGGAAGGTCACGTGGTGGAGAGCATCCCTTATCCAAACAAATGTCGTCCTGATCATCACATTGTTTTCCTGCCCTTCTGTCGCTTAATCAGTGTTGGTTCCTTCCGGGTGCTTCCAGATACTCGGCGCATGGACCGTGTCACTGACTGGGGTCTCATAAACTACGGTCGGGACTTCATCCTGAACAATGGTTACCGGAACTATAACGATGGTCCTCTCAGCCAGGACCGGCAGTACCGGGATATTGTCCGAGACTTTGATAATATTGACGGCCTGATTCGAGATACCGACTTTTTCCTAGAAACACGCCTGGACACTATGCGTGGTAATACCGCAGCAATGCTTCGCCTTGATCGAGTCGCCCACTGGCCTCTGGCAATAACCGTCGACTCGTCATCCAGGCTCGAAAGTAGCTTGTTAGATATTCGACAGTACCCAGGCTCAGTAAACCTTCACGATCCCGGTCTGAGCAGTCATAGCCTCCGTATGTGCGCGTTCTATAACATGTACGAAATTTCTTGCGCCATATTAGACAGGGATTCATGGGAAGAATGGCTTTCATGGTTCCCTGAAGGTCTCGATCCCCATGGTCAGGACAGTATCGATACTCAGACCCAAATGATCATGGACAATCCCGAAAGGAATGACATCTGGGATTCCGAAAGGGCAGATCGGGAGTACGAAACCAATATTGAGAACTATTTGGAGCGAAATTGGAATGGTTCTCCTGCATGGCGTTACCCCAGCTTTGAAAAGGACTGGTGTACCGATTGCCGACGGATAGGATATCGGACTGGGTGTGACCAAGACTGCGAGCTGATGGATGGTCCTTACTATGGAAAGTATTGGGATATTGACAAAGTTTTTGCTGCTGATTTTACGGATTCTGATATTTGTTAACAATTATAATGAAATGAGAAACTACTCATAATCTAAGCCCTGTTGACAAATTATTCTTTAGGCCATGTATACATGTAGACCAATGGGATGGTCTCGATTGTAGCTTTGAGGGAAGCTGCAGACAAGCTAGCATTGATCTCGACTATGGTGTACAACCAAACTACAGCCAAGATAGTCGCGGAGAAAAGCATGATGACCTTTCTTAAATGGCAGGATCCAATCGCTTTATCGTAGTTTCTATAATGGTGTACATTGGTATCAGTCTATACCCCAGAAATGATTCTGTTCTGCTTTTCCTCCTTTTTTTCTTTCTCCCCCCAAGTTTCGTCTGAACTCTTTCCATAGATTCACAAATTGACGCCAAACTTATACTTCGTTTTAATCTCCTCTCCACCGATATGCCGGCATCACCGTGAGTTTGACTATTACCCATGGATAGGTTTCCATCTGATGTTCTACTAGGCAGATGTCGGCCGACGAGGGCTCGCTCACCGGAGCGGCCCAGGGTATGTTGCCCCCCTCCTCTGATAACGGCGCGCTTGGTGGCCACCTTCCGTCAAGCTTCAATCCTTGGTGGGGTCCAGAGTGGTTGACTTGGCTCCTCGTTGAGGAACCCAACGACATTGCTGTGGACCCAGTCGAGCGATGGAAGCGGCTGTTATTCCTCCTCGAGTATGGTGACTACGCGGCTCGGGTTTGGAACTTCCTGTTGAGGGCGTCCCGAGCGCTGCGGTTTCCCATCCACAAGTCAGTCGTCCAGCTCCGTGACAAGCTTACACAAGAATCGAAAGATTCTTCCAGCGGACAGAAAAGATAGATCCGCCTGATCGATGAGATACGTGACGCATCTCTCGATCAGGGCCTGGATATCGACCTTGAGATGGCGAAACTGGCAATTCTGGTCTATAGCAAGCGGAACCTCACTTGTCACGCTAGGATAGGGGAGATATCGAACTCTGCCCCGTTGAGGAGAGAAATCGAGAGGGCCAAATCCCGACTCCGCGAGGTCCTGCCAAGTGAACAGTTCCGCAACTATAGTGCCTGGCAACGGATTCTGGCCTTCTATGGAAGTACCCAAGACTACCCACATTTCAGAGACGGCGCTGTCTCTGACACGGTCTTGCCCGAGCCCGACCGCAGACACCAGCCCGACAACGCAAAGCGCCTTGCGTTCGAGAAGAGAGTATTCGATGATCGCCTTGACGCGACTTTCCAGACAATCAACGAGCGGATCCCGGTCACCTTTCGTCCTGTTCCCGGTCAAACGCGGACGAAGCATAGCGTGTCGGATCCGCTCCCTTACGCTCCTCGGAAAAGGCGTGCCATTGGATCGCCGGACTCCGAGGAACGTACCGATGGAAAGCCTGCCGCCTTGCCATTCCCCACCGTGGCCTTTGGAAACGTGGAGGATGCCTGTATATATCAAGAGATATACAGGGATCTCGAATACGTCTTTGGCAAAGACCGGACATCGGGCCGGAGGGCACTCGAGGAGGCACGGAAGGTGGTCCGCCAAGCGCGGGCTAACGTTGATAGGTCGAAGAGGAGGGCGGGGGGTCTTCCGGGCTGAGAGTGATGCACACATTGGCGCTAAGTACGGCCCAATATCTATGCTCCTGTGATTTGGGCTAACTCTTCTTGACTCCGCCTCGTGCGGAGTCCCCCCAGCGATGAGCTTGCACCTTACCGTGGTGCTGGGGTCCAGTATTCCTCCGAAAGGAGGAAGAAGCTAAGACAAGCTCTTTCGTAGAACATAGTCTCGTAGCGTTCTGTTATTTTGTGATTTGGTGATGGCTAAGTTGCCGCAAGCGCTACCATGCCTATTCTGAGACACACAGCTGTTGCATCTGGTATCAGCCGCAATCCGGCCTTGGGCGTATGCAAGATATAGAGAGCGTTATGAGACTAGGCACCCTCGAATGAAGTGCTGCCTGCGGAAGATGGTATCGGTCGGCTCCATTCTTTGCATGTTTTATCCTGAATACTGCGTGCTTTGGCGGTGTCGTGTGCTTGTCAAAGCATGAATACCCAGATGGCGCTGGATCAGTAGTCATAAAATAGTATATTTTGCTTGAGGCTCGTTACTACATGGTATTAGAAAGTAATACTACTGTCTACTATGATACAGATTCATTTTTGGTCTTATAGTCTGGTCGTTGTCAAGATATGTTTACCGATACCTTCCTTGGAATCGGGGCAAGCATGTATTTTCAAGCAAGGGGGTGGGTGGGGATTAGGCTTCAGGCCATAGCTGCCTGGCCGCAAAAATGTACATGGTCATCTATACTAGAGGGATATCGACTTACTATAAAGGTAGTACTACGCCACGTCCAAATCCTGATCATCATCTTAGAGTCAATTCACCCATCACCATAAGTCATTTTCTCGATCATGGAGATGTCACGAGAACAGCTGATATTCAACGTCATGGCTAACTATCCGCCGATGGAATTGGAAGTCATGCGGCTGCTGCAGCCTGGGTTCTCCAACGCGCTTGAACCGTTGATCACTTCCCAGCTATCGTTCGACTCATTCTCCAGCGAGACAATCTCTGCAATAATGAAAGTCTGGTTTAACCCTGAACTCGCCCACCACGTGCGTTCCTTCGAAGTTTGTTGGTGTTATACCGAGGAGGAAGACCAAGAAGTGGAAGGATTTGATAAAGAGGGTGTCCTCAAATTCGTCGACTATGCACTAGACACCATTTTCGAACCCAAGGAAGCAAAATCGCGAGCCAAATGGAAAGAACACCTATTGATGCCGAATGAAGAGGCTTGGTTCGGACTACTACTTGTGCGCCTGCATCACCTGGAAACGCTCGAGTTTGGGCACGAAAGTACCTATGGCCTTGTGATCGATATCTTGCGCAAAGCCGCGCGACGTCAGCGGCCTTTCCATGAAGATCCTCCATTTCCCTGCCTCAAGAAAATTATCATGAATCCTCAGTGGGGAGGCACGTGGGCTGATTCCAACTTTATTGATCCCTTCTTCTTCTTTCCGGCTGTTGAAACCATCGAGTGTCGTGCAATCGGCGAGTCGGACTCTTCAGAGAACACTCCAGTCGTGACGACCCGCTCCACTCGCCCTGTCCGTAAGATAACTGTTAAGGAAGCCTATTGGACTCACGGCTTGTTTGACTGGCTAGATGCGTGTACGCAGCTGGAACACCTGTCAATCAAGCTAGCCTTGCAACGGGATGATGAACCCTCGGAAGAATATCGATTTCGTGCTCCGCAATTCCGTCAGCACCTCCTTCGCTCCCGATCGACACTGAAGACGCTTCATCTTGGTGCGACGCAGACTTTGACAGGCCTGGCAGGTGATCTGATCGATGAGGATGGACCATTAGGCTCTTTGCAGGTGTTCACCTACCTCCAGGATCTTGACGTCCGACATGCCCATCTGCTCCCATTGGCCTCGCGGGTAAGGACGGTGAGGCGCCACACGCGACTCCTCAGAATACTTCCTGCCTCGATCCAGCGTCTGAAGATTAGGCACGTTGTCGATGAGGACTTTGGTAGTCTTCTGTCTGAGCTGCTGAATGTGGTGCAGCGGCGGGACTTGTTTCCTCGGCTTGAAGAACTCATACTCAAGGTTGAAGATGTAGAGAACAAGCCATTGGATTCATTGAGACAAGCATGTACGGCCGCTGGTATTACATTTACTGCTCAATTGCAGAAGGTTTGGTTTAGGTTTCGTCGCAATTGATGTTCGATCTAGTTCGGGTGTTTGTCCGCGTTATACTGTCGACCAAGCTTATTCATGATAATTATAAACTACACGCGTCGTGTCATACTTTAGCGATGGTGCCTCATGAAATGTTTGATGTGAAACTTGTCTTTGGCCTAGTTATATCTGGTCTGCTGCATATATAAGCTCGAGTTCTGAGCAGACTAAGGATTCCAGTTTAAAAAAAAAAAAAAATAAAAAAATAAAGCTCGTACAGCTAACATAGAGCTCTTCAGCCTTTAGTTAGTAAGCCTTTTGTATCAGTCCAAGGGAGGAGGTGCGACGTCCCATCTCTTGTGGTGTTTTCACCTTCTCTGTGTGAGGAGGAATAGAAGATATGGATGATCCCGGTAGCTGTTCTATAGATGCCCGAACACCCTACCTCACGAAGAATGGATGCTTTCAACCAATCAACGAACGAATATATTCTAAATCGTACTATAAGAGTAGTTTAGAAGATAAAACAAGCACATACGACCACAGGGTGTGGAAAACAGGGCTTCCCGTCCGCTCAGCCGTACTTAAGCCACACGCCGGGAGGTTAGTAGTTGGGTGGGTGACCACCAGCGAATCCCTTCTGTTGTATGTTTTTGCTTTTTTAATTTTTTTTAAATCGCAATGTGTATAATATATATGCATGTACACTGAGACATTTTGTAAAATGTAAGTAAATCTGCAATTGATGTCACATAGTTCTCAACAGTCATTGTGGGAGCCATGGGTGTGTGTGCTGCCACCCCCAACAGGCGATAATGGGAATAGACACGGCGTTATCGGTACTTTCGGCCTGTCCCAGATGCAACGCTCCATGAGCTTCCCCCAACAGAGTATCATCTCTAGAGTAATTCCCGGATAACGGCAAAAAGAAACTTAGGCATTTCTGGGTTATGGGCTAGCGACTTTCTCCATTCAGGTCCCTGTGATGCAGGGGTTCAGGCATCCCACCACTGATTCCTCCTCATTAGTCCTTCATCCAGTCACAAAAATCACGCACGTAGTAATCAGCCCCAAGAAAAGGGCTAACGCGAAGCTAATGCGGTCTCTTTGGCTCCAAGCTGACCTCGACCCAGACCATGCCATACTCCAAGTTGGAAGAGATGCAAGTGAAATTACGCTGGTGATAATACAATTAAGAGAGCATTTATAGGCCAATGAGAGATTGGGCAAGTTGATGCTACCTATACGCACCCTAATATCCGAACACATTCAGGCGGGACAACAACCTGCTTCTTGCTTGGAAACAGGGTCAATGGTTATGCCCCCACGGCAAATCAAAGAAAGCTTGAAACGTCCTATATTGCAGCCAGATGGCGATACACCTTTCCTACTACTCCCGAAGCCCTTCTGTCTAGCTAGTCCCACTTTACTCAGCTACTCTGAAAGTCCACACACTACTAGTACATATTCCGCCATATTTCAAGTTTCTAACTTTGCCCGCCTTCCATCACAGCTGCTCCCACGCGTTACAATCACTCTCGTCGGGATACTTTGTCTTCATACGCCGACGCAAATGTAGTCGTTCAACCATAAACCCTTGCATCCAGATCCGACCTTAGGGTTCCACTTCTCGATGTCTCCGACTGTAATGCCTAGAGTACTAGCGATACTCCCGCACGTATCACCCGAACGGACAAAGTAGAAGGTAGTGCAGTCACTTACCATGCCCGGCTCATAGGGCGTGGGAGTGGTGATGCCATTACCTGCCGAGGTTGTCGTGGTGGGCACTGTGTAGTCAATGGTGTCAACACAGACATAGTATCCCAAGTCTAGATCGGAGCAGGACGAGCTGACAGCCGGGTTCCAGCTGTAGAATGTGGCGAGGGGAATTTCATATTTGGCGGCGATGGCTTCGCAGGTATCACCAGATTGAACGAGGTCGAACTTGTTGCATTTGTCTGTCATGCCAGTCTGGATGGGTGTGGGTGTGGTGATGCCATCGCCGGGAGTAGTTGTGGTCACTGGGATGGTAGTAGTGGTAACTGGACCGGTCGTAGCACCGGGGACATCTACGCAGTAGTAGTAGCCCGCCAGGATATTGGTACAATCTGCGAATTTGGTCTCGTCAGCTATGGATAATAATCATGAAAGAGATGTAGAGCCTACCCGAGTTGACAGATGGATTCCAGTCAAGGAACTCACTTGCGCTGATGCCGAACTGGGCTTCAATCTTTCCGCACGAGTCACCGGTCTCAACGAGGTAGAATTGGTCACAGTCGGCAGCAGTGCCCGTTTGTTGGGGTTGATATGGGGCCGAAGAAGAAGAAGAAGAGGAAGAGGAAGTTGTTGATGGTATGGGAACGATGGAAATGGTAGAAGTGGAAGTGGAAGTGGCCAGAGATGAGGAGCTCACAGTTGGCCCACTCGATGAAACAGTTCCGAGTACACAATAACTTTGGCCTGCCACGAGGTCCGGGCAAGTAATCTTTGGGTTGAGGGACTCCAAAGCCTGCACAGTCAGGCCCCAGTCGGCCGCAACAGACTGACAAGTATCCCCAGAACTGGCAGCGTACTCATAGCTACAACTGATCTGCTGACGAGGGGCCAAGACCATCGCCCATGCCAGGTGTAGCTGGGGGAGTACAAAGAGACCTGCCTTTAGTGATGTTGGCACCATCATGGCTGATAATGATCTGAGAATAATTAGTAGCCACCTAAGAAGTAAACAGAGTTATACGAAAGCTGCTATCTGGGAGAATGAGGCCCTTTCCAAATAGAATGGGAAAGACGAGACTGTCAAGCCCATTATAATATGTTGGAACATGTTTCTCCGTGGGCTGATCGGAAAGACGCAATGTATCCGTTTTTTGGTCTAGCGGTATCACATCGGCTTATCCTGTCGCGCAACAGCCCAGTTATGGCAATGCTGGCACTGTCTAGCAACTCTTCCACGCTATGCTTCGCATAGAAGGTAATAAACGTCTTCGAATTCGAAGCATTGGAAGCGGAAGTCCGGATTATTCCGTACTGAGACATCGTCGGGAGCGTGGACGGAGTCCGTATGATCCCCTAAAATCGAGCTGAGTGAGGTGGATAGCCACCACATAGAACTAATGCGAAGTCAGCAGGTAGTCGGGTTTGTCGGATGACTCCCCCAATCATACCAAGCAGAAGCGTCTCCCGCAATTTTGGGGAGGGTCGGGTAACCTACGGCGGTGATTAACCGCCATAGTAAAGCTTCGCAAAAGCCTGGCAAGGCTTAGCTTAGGCGCTACCGCTGGCTAGCTTGTCAGAACGGCCAATTATCTTGCCAATCATCTTGCACAGTAACCCCGCTTCCCCCCTGTCAGGGACAAACTTACTAATTGAATTTCTCATTGGTGAGGTTTCAGTATTGTTGCATTCTGTTGAACACACAGACCCTTGAGGTGCAATTCGTTAGGACAAATAGTGAATACTGCGATATCAGTTCCCGGCCGAAGGACCACTGGAGCGGAGTGGCAACCCGGTGGAAATTAACATTTTTGCCAAGGAAGACAAGCTCATGAGCATTGAACCCTCGCTTCGCTTCACTTTCTGTAGAATCCTACGCTGTAAGGCTGAACTAGTGGGGCCATTAGGCCCCCGCGGAAATTGGACGGGCGCAAAGCTGCTACACACCACTGCCTGGGCTACGAGTGGACGATTTTGATCTCGAGAGTACTGAAAATAATATATTCCCGATATTATCACTACCACATAGAAAGAAAAAGGCCCACTTGCCCAATTAGGCCAGAGGCCCGTAGTAAAGGGCTAGGTACATCGTTGTCAATCAAGGTGGATCAAGGCAGTCACCACGGTTAAGAGTGTAAACAATGTCGATGCTGCGACGATGCCGCGTTGTCCCGTGCCATTGGATTTGGACGAGGGAGTCGGACAAGTAACGTTGGGATTCGCCGATCGCTCTAGAGGGCTACAGGCATAGGCAGTTGCCGCTGCCCATATACTGGACGCCGCGGAAGCATTGACCGTCGCCGCGCATGGGTTGGTTGTCGGACTGGGCCCAAGGACGCCGCATTCTTCCCCGATAGCAGTCACGTTTAACGCATTGGCGTTTTGGATGCCGCACGTACCAGAAGATGTAGCTGCTTCAAGACTAGGTGCCTTCCCTGACTGGCTGACAGTGAAGACGATGTCATTGTGAAACTTGATGTCTTGAGGTTCACTGCCATCCTGAGAACAATCGGAAATATGCAGGGTCCAGGCAAAAGTCCAGGAGCCGTCCGGGTAGGGGAGGGTATCAACGAATCGGGTAACAAAGTGAAGACCAGAGGTCCGACGAAGCGAGTTCAAGAAGCCCACCGTTGATGGAACCTGGAGAAGACCGGTTGTTGCCTTCCAACAGATCCCAAGTGATGTAGGCCTCCAAGCTGGAAGCCAGAGGCGAATTCTGCAGCGCAAACACAATGGGCATCAGGGCCTCGGGCGCGTAAGTTTCGTTGCGCGGTGATATCAAGTCAACTTCGAAGATACTCGAATAGGCATCTGAAGTGCCATTGCCCATTGCAATCATGGAGCTCACCATCAGTACGGTCCAAGTAAGGAAACGAAGGTAGATCATGTTGAAGGGAAAGTGGAAAACGAAAGTGGGAGGATTGTAATACCAAACTTGGCGATTAACCCCGGCTGTTGGCTGTTGAAGGAATGGAAGAAACTGAAACCAGAAAGAGTGAAGAGAAATAGAGAATAGGAGTCAAGGGAAATTCTCCAAGCGGCTAAACGGATGTCACGGCATGATGCTGCACTCCTGAGCTGCCCCGATCCCTGCAGGCTCCGCTATTCTTGCCCAATCTAGGGTCTTTCATATTGGACCCAGGTGGACTAGCGCGCATAAGGGTCCGATAGTAGCCGCCCATTATTTTAGTTCATTTTGATAATCAATCTCTTATCTTGTCGTTATTACTACCAGTATATTTTAGATCCACAGTTGTACAAGGACCCTTGTTGCACCATGCGGACGACTATAGATGCAAGCTCCGTCTCGCCTACAATTGAAACCCCCCAGTAAGACACCGCATTAGCATTCAGGGGAGGCCAAGCACCGAGGGCGCATCGTTTGCATGTGCGGCATCTCGATGATTCCTTCGTTGGCTCGATTGCCTGGCGGAAATTACGACAGTAGATCGACCACTGATAGGTTGATCTGGCCGGGGATATGTTCTTTTGAACGAAGGGTTAGTTGTCAGCAGAAAGTATAAAAACCATCGTCACGTAGCCTGCTTCTGTTGGGCTCATCGGGCACATTGTGGCTACTAGATCATGTCTCTCTTTTTCCAGGTTTCGTGGCTTCGCCCACACACTCCATTCCTTACGTACCTGTATCTCACTCTTTTCACCCTTTTCTTTCTTCATTCGCAACTCTTCCTCCACCACGGTACCTTTCCGTCTTCCCGCCAGTCCTGGGTATCAAGGCAGGTCAGTTGCTTGTCCAGCACGATGTGCTGCATCGGGCCCTAACCCTGCCAACTGGTCCCTCTATCACAACTTCAACCAGTTCGCCTCGTGCGAAGAGTCTATCTTTTACTCTTTTTCTTTTGTCGATCCTGTCGATGAACCTAACAGCCTTCATCGCATTTACGCCTGCACGTCATTTGGTCCCGATTGGGCCAACGTGCCGGCTAACACGTCAAACCTGGTCGCGCAGTCGAAAGGGGTCTCGCCCCCGTTGAACGGCACATACCAGATCGGATTTTGGCCCTCCGCACAAGGTTCACCGGTCTCGTCTTCTCTCGCTACTCTCACCAAGCAGTTCCGCCAATATCTCTCTAATGGGCTCGGCGCCGAAAACCGTCCGACCATTTTGTTCGCCAGCTATGGTTCTACCTCAGTTGGGCTTTACATTGGTCAAGCTTTACAGAAACAGGGCATTGGCAACAATGCTCTGGCACACCTGGAGAGCTTCATGACAGAATCCAATGCTAGTCTGTCGCCGAGTGTGGCTATGCAATTTTGCCAGCCGGGTCAAACCTCCCACCACGTTTTTGGCATGATGGCGACTGGTAATGGAACATTCGCTGCTATTCAAGACGCCCTTGCCTCATGGTCCAAGGCAGAATGCTTGGCCTTCCCGTCAATCCAGAATGTCACCGGCATTGTCCCACTCGTGACGCCGTTGTTCCCTTCCTCGATCAACTCCACCTCAACTTATGGTAATACAACCTTCGTTCGGGGCAGAGTCTTCACCCCTCGGACTACCTGTTCTACCGTTCAGGTCGTCTCTGGTGATAGCTGCAGTACCTTGGCTCAGAGATGTGGGATTACCCCAGCTCAATTTACCAGGTATAATCCCGGGTCGAACGAATGTTCTACCTTGACTCCTGGAGAGCACGTGTGTTGTTCAGCGGGCACATTGCCCGACTTCACTCCAAAGCCTCAATCTGATGGCACTTGTGCCACCTACACCGTCCAGCCGGATGACAGCTGCTCCAAGATTGCCGCTACATACAGTATTATCGTGGATGATATCAACAACTTCAACCAGGACACGTGGGCTTGGAATGGCTGCAAGCACCTTTACCCTCATAATATCATTTGCCTTAGTACAGGCAATCCACCGATGCCCGCCTCGGTCTCTAATGCAATCTGTGGGCCACAGGTGCCCGGCACCCCGACCCCTCCTAGTGGGACGAATATTTCCCTGCTAAATGAGTGCCCTCTCAATGCGTGCTGCGATGTATGGGGCCAAGTAAGTATAGTGCCCTCACTCGACCATCGATGATGTGACTAACGATGATCCTAGTGTGGTACGACAGCCGGGTTTTGCACCAACACTGGCACGGGGGCGCCTGGAACCGCGGCGCCGGGTACCAACGGCTGTATTTCGAACTGTGGCACCGAGATCGTGCGGAGTAGCCCTCCTGCAACGTACCGGAGTATTGGCTTCTATGAAGGATTCAACTTGCAGCGTCCCTGCCTCTACCAGGACATCTCTCAGCTCGACATCTCGGCCTACACCCACATTTATTTCTCCTTTGGCGTGTTATCCCCTTCCTATGTGGTCCAGATCCCTAACGCCACAGCAACATACGAGTTCAACCAGTTTAAACAGATCCAAGGAGCAAAGCGCATTCTTTCGATTGGTGGCTGGGCATTTTCAACTGATCCGAGCACTTACATGATATTTCGGGAAGGCGTCACTGCCGCCAACCGTCTGACCATGGCCACCAACATCGCCAACTTCATCAAAGACAACGACCTTGATGGCGTTAATATTGACTGGGAGTATCCGGGGGTAAGAATCATGATAACTTGCACTTCTCCTGTGTCTTTGTCTAGATTTGCTAATTCATCCTTCCCCTCTTTCCGTTATAGGCACCGGATATTCCCGGCATCCCTGCTGCTAGTACTGATGACGGTGACAATTATCTCGCTTTCCTTGTGGTCTTAAGAAACCTCCTTGGCGAGAATAAAGAACTTACAATTGCGGCACCGTCGTCATATTGGTACCTGAAGGGCTTTCCAATCAAGAAAATGGCTCCGGTCCTAGATTACGTCATCTACATGACCTATGATTTGCACGGACAGGTATGGCTTACCTCTCAATTTCAGGATGTGGTGTATGGCAAAGAGGTCTGATCAAAATTTCAAAACTGCGTCCAGTGGGATTCCAACAATCAATGGTCACAGCTTGGGTGTCCGACTGGCAATTGTTTGCGGTCGGATGTGAATCTTACCGAAACCATTGGTTCCCTGGTCATGGTAAGTTCAAACACTCGTTGCTCTTCCCATCACTAATTCCAACGCTTGTTTTAACAGATCACCAAAGCGGGTGTCCCCTCAAACCAAGTTGTTGTTGGCGTGACCAGTTACGGACGCTCATTCGCCATGGCCGAAGCCGGCTGCTACGGGCCTCAATGCCAATTCTTGGGTTCAGCTGACGACTCGCAGGCTGCACCAGGGCCTTGTACTCAAACTGCAGGCTACATTGCCAATGCTGAGATTGAAGCTATCCTCGCCAATTCTTCCCGGGTCACGAAGAGTTATATCGACGCTACTAGTGACACAAATATCCTTGTTTACGACGACACTCAATGGGTTGGCTGGATGAGTGATGGTGTCAAGTCAACGCGAAAGTCGCTCTACAAACGCCTCGCCATGGGGGGAACCACTGATTGGGCTACCGACCTGCAAAAGTACAATCCGCCGCCGTTCATTGCCAAGAGCTGGGCTAGCCTAATTGACGACGTCGTCCTGGATAAACATCCTTACGAAGAAGGTAACCGAACCGGCAACTGGACTTCCTTGACTTGCTCGGATCCAGCCATCCAAGATGCACTGTGGATGCCATGCGCCCAGCGCTGGGCGCAGCTGGACGCTTCCAATGCTTGGTCCGATGCAATAAACGTCTGGAAGAACATCGATAAGCCGAAAATGCCGGATGATGTCGAGAAGGACTTTTCCCTGTCTATTATGAACACTTTCCATGCCGGTGAAAACGCTTATTGCGGATACCTCAACCCAAGAGGCCATTGTTCCACATCCCAAACGTGCGGATGGTTCCAAGGCTTCGGCCGGGGGAACCGGTGATTCGGGTCCCGCGGCAATGCTGATCTATGAGTCTTTCACCGTGATAAACTCGGTAAGTCTTGCCATCCTTGTCCGGAGACGTGTGAAAAGGCTAACGAGAATAATCACTTAGGCGTACTCTCAATTTTATGACGCTATCAACGCAGTTGCTGGAACGTACATTGATAACCAGCTCCAGAACTTTGAGTCCACATTCGCACCCGTGCCTCCGGCACAAAGTGATACGTGGCTAGAAATCTTGATCAATCTTTTTGGTCTTGGTATCACGGCAGTCGCCGCACCGTACTTCAATGGAAGTAGGTTGCGCCCCAGACTCTTCCGCTTACATTTCTTGGACCACTAATCCTGATCTTTCATAGTCTATTCAAGTCTACCGGCTCTTAGTAGTGTTCTTGGAGATGCCGGGGCAGACACCGTTGCCGACATCACGAGTGCCACTGTGGCGTACGGAGCATCAATTGCGAGTGATTCACTGTCTACGAAAGCGCCGTAAGTGTCACTGCACCTTATGCAACTCCAACGTCGCTCATCAGACCTTTACAGGGGTAAATGGCAACCATCGTCCCAACAGAGTTTCACCGCCACTCTGGGGTCAGTAGTCACCGGTTGGGCTTCCCTCGCGGAAAATCAGCTCTGGACATTGTTCAATGGATCCGATACCTCCATCAGTGTACTCGGGACCTTGATTGCCAATGGTAACCTCATTGAGGGCAGTGGCGGCAGCCCATCGGTAAGCGCCAATTCAACACTCAGCACCAACACCCAAATCGAGAGCTACATCAGCAAGGCCTTCTTCGGCTTCGCCATCCCATCGGTATGGGCCGTCTCCGGGGCCGCTGCCTTCGTCGTCGACTCGGGCTATGACTGCAGTGCGCAAAACCCGTTGACTGATTACATGACGGCCTCCACCCAAGAGTCCACTTATGCATGCTACAATAACAAATTGTACTATCTAGTTTATCCACACGGCAAGTGGAGAGGTTGTCCCGACAAGGATACTGTGAAGACGGATTGCGTTGATTGTGGCCCGACATCAACGTGCTCCGACCAGACGTTCTTCACTGCGCCACCAGGACTTAGCTCCCTCGGCTCAGGATCTTGGGGGAACATTACCCTGTCTGATCTGATTATCGGGTCCGTCCGAACTTATGTCGCCAACGGCAATGCCAACGGCGGACCCGTCGCCAACCCCTTGGATGAAGACACCCTGAAAGACCTCTCGAACCAGGATATCACTACCCCGGGCTATATCCGCCTCCCAGTGTGTAGCCCCCAGGTCGCCTGGGCCTCGTGGTCCACCCCATCGCAGTCCAACTCTAGCACCCCGAATTACCCCTGTAACCCGTTACAGGGCGTCACCAAGTGCAGCGGTTACACATACCAGGATGAGACCTCGTCGGCCTCCCCGAAGGTGTCCGACTGTCAAACCATCGTAAAGAACATTCAGAACACCAACGGCGAATGGACTACTGGTATCGGACACCAACGCGACATTGCTAAGTTCGGGTCTTGCAATTTTGGCGTCCAGAATGTTGGCGTTACCGGTGATGTCACTTATCATACTGGCAGTCAGGATATTGTTACCATTATCAACGAGGCAATATCCAAGTATGCCTCTAATGGTCTTGTCGGTGCGAAGGGGTACATGGAGTGCAGTGGTGATGCAGGTAGTCAGAAGGTCGAGTGGGGTCTGTATTAGTAGTTAGTTGCTCTGACAGTTATTGGATATATATAGGCTCCTTTCTGTGAGCGCAGAAAGTGTGTACTTGTAATACAATGCCTGGTGATTAGATCCATCGTTTTCTTTTCTTTTCTTTTTTTTTTTTTTTCTTTGACGACTCTATATAGTATTTGGGGCAGTCAGACTGGGGATTCTGATATGGGAAGGGTACCCCATTTCCCCACTAACAACTAGCATGATAGGATGATACATAAACAATCGTATGTGCCATTTATCCCGAAGAAAAAAAACCATTCAGAAGGATATATACATATTCTTACAAAACAGCACACCTCTCTCTTTCCCTCTTCAGTTGGTGGTCTCCACCACGTCCCCCAAAAGCGCAATTCCCAACTTGCTCCGATCCAAGAACCCTTCCTCATCCGCCGCAATCTGCGCCGCAGCTTCGGGCGCCATCACCTGAGCCGAGAATGTTTGGAAGGCGGCCTGGTCCGCAAATGTGAGTTCGGCATAAGCATCGAAATCGAAATCAGTTTGCTGCCCGACGAGGACGGTGGCGGGCGTGAGGGCATTGCGGGTTGAGTTGTTATTGTTTTCTCCTGCTTGAGGGTTCTCGATAGTGGTGCGCGCGATGTACATGCGCTTGTGCGATAGGGGAAAGTCATCACCGGAGAGACGCTTGACTAGCTGAATATGGGCTTCGTAGCGCTCCTTGAAGGTTTGAAGGTCTAGACCAGGCTTGCGGTAGGCGTAGATGATAACCCGGACGGACATTCTGGGGTATATTCTTGGGTGGTTCTAGATTATACTGGGGGGGAAGACAGAGAGCGTGGTCCTTGGGAATCTGGGGTTTGACTTGGGTTTGATTTGCTTGTTGTAGAGATATGATTGAATGGGGCGATATTGGGGGGAGCTTCAGAAGTGAGAGGGGAAGTTGTTGGGGAGGGGCTGGGGAAAATGGCAGGTTATATGAATTTCTTGCGTTCATTTACGACCTTGTCGAATTGGGGAAAGTAGTTGATTAGAATGGGCGCTTAGTGCTGACGCGGTTATAGTTTGATGTCCCGTTGGCTGTTAACAGACCCACATTGTTGGGATCAGGCCGGCTATCCATAGACTAGTACTGCGTGCACTGCCTCGGATGAACACGTCCAGAATTTCGTTTTCCTAGAATCCTATAGCAGACGCAGGCTAGCTTGATCGCCAGGTCTTCCAGTTGAGTAACACGCATCCAGCTAGTCAAGCAACCTGTTGGTCCAATACACTGCATTCATAGTGACTCGATCTTGGGGACGGGACGAGCTAAGCTGGTTGTCACAACTTGGAAGTTTTCCGTATTCACTGCGTACCGACCCACCAATTGCACCAATAAATGGTTCTAGCAGCAGGCAGAAGTCAGGTTCAATCCATGAGTCCCCCTATCAGTATTCGCTTGCGATGACTTGCCGGCAGGACTGCTAATTGTTCTTGAGGTTCTTCTTTATATTGGTGATCTTTGTGATAACCTCGACAAGGGGTAACATGAATACTATCAAGAATGCCCTATTTTGAACTGATCTTCGCACTTGATCCACCCTCGTAATACCGCCCACGATCGGCATATGTGCCTGCAATATGATCCCAGTTGCCAATGTGCCATCCTTTCCTCCGGATTCGTCGCCTTGTCCGAATATGCCAGTCGCACGACCTTTGACTCGTTCTTTTTCAGCGAATGACTAGAGAAGACCATAATCAGTATAGTTTTCTGCAAGACTTCACATGGGGGCCTACCAGTATTCATTGTGCTTGCAATGTTCTCAGGCTCTCTACTGGCGTGTTAGTGCGGCGATCAGCACGTAGAGTTTGGATCGTACTTACTCGACTCCTATAGTGACTTCGGTGTCGAGGGCCCGTGGGGTGTCGGTGAGGCCCACTGTTTTCTAATTGTGCGTGATCTGTATACCCATTCTGGGACATATTGCAAGAGTTAGCCCTCGATATCAATATTGTGTTGGACAAAGATCACGGGCTACTTACGCAGCCGCATTCTAACTCTGCTTCCAGATCTTTTCGGCATCATAAGAGACTGCAGGAGAATTAGTACTCACACAGTAACAGATACGTTTAACGTACAAGTTTATAAAGGCCCCGACAGAGGGTGAGGAAGTTGCATCGGGCATCTTCATGCCCATGAGGCCCACCCTACTCGACAGCTCTTAGAGCAGAACTCACTTCAAGCCCCTGACTGGATCAGAAGCGACAGAATTGACGGAAGCGGGACGCGCCCCATCGTGCGTCCCGCAGAAATCAAGCTTCACATTTCCGGGATAATGAGAAAAAGTGCCAGAAGGGTGGAAGTAGATGGAGGCAGCATGGATTTGTCAGAGTAGATAAGGGGATATAACAAAGAAAGGGAAGTAGGAGAGAGGTGAGAGGTGTGACAGGAAGAGAATATAGAATGGAGAAAGAACAAAGTAGAGGATGCAATACACTACTAAGTACCTACCGTTCCCGACTAACACGAACCAAAATTACTGTTACAGCCGTACCTGACCCGCTGTGGTTCTTTGTTCGTGTGTATGGATTCAATTTCGGGTGAATTGCTTGTCTGAGTACTTGCTAAGAGCTGTCCTTGTAATTTATCTGTTTCGATATTCACTTCGGCCCCGGTCAGCTGATCCTTCGCCTCTTCTTCCTGCCTGGTCCCCGACCACCACCTCTTCCAATCACTAATCCAATCTCTTGAGATCTAGATAGGTCAAATATCTCCCCTCGACCCTTTGTCTCAACACCAACTACCGTACCGCCAAGAGGTTGGAAATCCTCCTATAGTAGCCACTGTAGGGATCCTGCCTCGTTGTTTCTACTCCAAACCAGGGAACGAAGACGCGCAATGCTATTCCCTTACTTCCTTATCGGGGTCTTTACAAGAATGTACGTTTTACTGATTGTACTAGCCGTCACAGTGCGAACACTAATTGTTGTACAGTCTTTTATGCTCCCACACCGACCTAGAAGCAGGATTGGCTTTACAGACACTCAGAGAACTCTAGCGAAGTGTCAGCCATCGGAGCAGGAATAGACAGCAGGGTATCAGATAAAATGAATGTGCTCAAGCAAGAACTACGAATGTTGTATGTATTCTGTGAGCTGCATTATTGGCCTTGCACCGTGCTGAATATTGTGATTTAGACGAGGCGTAAAGCCTGTTATTTCCGCTGCTGCGTAAGTTGGCCATGCTCCTTCTTTCATGATGCAGCCAGTCAACGATGACCTGAGTCTATGCCCCATTTATCTCTTATTGGACCTGATGTAAATGATACATGCTTTTCTGCGTGGAGGACGTCTGCGGCTTCTAGCCATTTCCGATCATATTACTAACGCTATCATAAACCGGATGATAGAGATACCATCAGGTAGCAATGTTGTGCGGAAACAATTCGTTATGTTCAGCGCCGTCTGATCGTACTCACTGGATTTGTGAGAATCAAAAGGATGAGAGAGTATGACTTTCATACGCTAGAAAGAGCAAGTCCCGTGTAATCTATATTACAGGATTTCCAAACACAATATGCTCTGAGATATACTAAATTTTGGTATGGCTGCCAATGAAAAAGGCAGATAATCAATACAATCCGGCAATTGATAGATGAAAGCCAAATTCATGCCTATCTGAAGGCATAGATATAAACTTGATTGAAGAAAGCAGCGGAAACTTTCATGAAATGAAGCAAATAATGATTAGCTGAGGTGCCACTCAAGGCACTACAAGGCCGGTGGCCTTACCAAATATAATGTTCCTAGGCCCGGAAGCAGAATTAGCCTCACGGAAACTCAAAGAGCTCTCGATAGAATCGTTACAGACGGCGAACTATCAGACGGCACGAACGTGTATAAGCAAGAATTATGAATGGTTGTTTCAAGACGCAGTAGTCATGCCATGACTATGGGTCGCCGGGTAGCTGGGTGGTGTAATAGTAACCACCCTGGATGACACTCCTACAAAAGCATCTGAGAGAGGTTCCTCGAATACATGTTCGTACAAAGTGTGGTGAGTTCAATCCCCGCGGCTGCTGAAAGACCACATTGGAATAGGACTAAACATACGCACAAGCAGGCTTTCGTTATCGCAACTGGACCAACCTCTAAATATACACCTGCCTGAACCACTCCGGCAGAACAAATGGCGTTGATTGTGCACAACCCACCGAATCTTCCTGTTCCTGGGCCAGAGCCTATAGGTTCAACCACGACTGCGACCAGTGATACTGATGTAAACATGGGATCCAAAGAGGCCGAGAACGGTGAGAACGCAGTGGATACTAGTCAGTTGCAGCCTGTTGATGATGTGAGCGGTTTCGATACGCTGGACACAGCTGAAGGTGATATCGGGGTGATCTCAAGCCATACCAGCAATATTTTCAAAAGCCACTGAAGTCTTCGACTGGACAGCGACGGGAGCGAGCAGACACACGGGGGGCTCACGTGGACGCACGGAACGAGGCTTGCGAGGGATCGCAGGGAGAATGCGGGAGCAAAAACACGCGATAAATGGGGGAAGTGTGTTCCACTGGGGATTGCCCTCTCGGGGGTCGCCCTCGAGGCATCTACAAGGGACTGGGGATGAGCGTTCCGATTGGTCGGTTGGATTTCGGAATAACTTTGCGTTTTTATCGTGACTGCGAGAATACAGGAATCCTATATTGGACTGGCCCAAGTTGGCTTAATAGTATAAAAGGGGCCGTTACAAGAAATTATTTGGACTCTGGGTGTTGTTGATTGAGATGTCTACCCCACATTTTCGGGGTAGTTCTAGTTAAATTTATATTAGCAGAGATGGAGGACACAGACATATATTTGTCTTCATACTAGTTCTATCAGAGTTCAGCCTGGTTGCTTCAGGCAGTAAGTCTTCTGGAATCCACAGCGCTAGGGTATCCGCCAAAAGACTAGAGTCTTGAGCCGAGAGACTCAGACGCGCGTCTCTTTTAAGCTTACGGTGAATGTAAGACCACCTGGATCCTCACATCTTCGTCTGAATGGCGGTACTGGCCTCTCTGGCGCTTAATGGAGAAAACAAGCTGTAGATTTGGACGAACAGAGTATAGCGGTGAGAGGGAATCGAGCCAGGGTCAACGTCATATTGTGTCTGATGAATATGCTCCGGCGGAATTTGGAAAGCAACACGCGTAGCACAACAACTACAAACGATTGTCGCAGCCGACATACCTACGCTCCGCCTACCTTTTGAAGGTAGCGCCTCCCCGCAGCTGGCTGCCTGGCCCACGTTGTTATCACTGGAGCTCTACAACGGTTTGAAAGTTTTGAGGAATTTCTTTTCAGCTGCCAGTAACTTACTGTCCTACCAGTTAGATGACCGTATTGATTCTGCAGACGTGCGTAGCGCTGTTGTTGTTGTTGTTGTTGTTGTTGTTGTTCGCTATTCAGATACGCAGCTACAGCGTCCTCCGCTAACAGGCTTGCGTAACTGGTCTGGGAGAATGTGGCGGCGAGAATAGTAACTGAACCTAGCTCAGACACACCAGTTTGGCGATTCTAATGCTACTGCTATAGCTCCAGGTTCAGATTATACCAGGCTAACACCTTTCACCTTTCAGTCGGACCTATCAAAGCTGATAGAGCGATTAATCATCAGGGACTAATCGCTATTCGCTATATTAGATATTATACAGTAGTAGGAGGCATATATGGCAGGCAAGTAAACCCAGTCGGTGAGCTGCCTATCAATAGGGATACTCTTCGTATCTGAAATTCCAGATTGTCTTTGCCGACTTGTCAAATCCATAACCTTTCGAACTTGTCGCACCGATATGTTGGAGGACTGGGGGCACTACCACATAACGATTCCATTCCTCTTTGTCGGCAATCTTCTCGACCATCATATCAACCAACCAGTCGGTGGTTAGGTCGGTATGTTCCAGAAATCGCGGCACTATCGAACGCGGAAATACCAGGCCCTGCGAGCAGCATCCGTATTTGTTCATTTCATGGACGCCGGGACGAATGGGCCAGATTGTCTGCCGTCCTGCGATGAAGTGTAGTCCGATGAATGCTGGAATAAAAAGAAGGGATATTATCCAGATCGCACTCGAGGGTGTTGTTTTGAAAAACCTTCTCTTCATGAACACCACGAACCCTGTTGCGGCTGCCCAGGCAACAAAAGACAATGCATAATATCTCGGCCACTCCTCCGAATTCCAACCAAGCAGGTCATCAATATAGAAGAGGCGAAGATAGACCCAGTCTTGCCCTGCTATGCTGCGCTGCTGGATCACGTCAAGTGCGTGTAGCGTAGAAGAAAGCCAGCCCTTGGCAGCCAATGTATCATCTTCAACCATAGCGACATAATCTGCACCAGTATCATAACAATCCTTCATCAAATGCGTAAAATCGTAGATGGTCTTGTTGCGATACCATCCTCCTTCCTCCCATTCGCGGATTTGCTCGTAATCGGGGTCATCCTCTTTCGGGTACAGGAGGACGCGGTCGGGTAGGACTTCTACCCACTTCTCCGAGAAAATTGGGTGGGTAGAGGGATCAGTATGTCCAATGAGCAGATCAAGGAATATAGTGTCTCGTTCCGATTCGGTAAGACCCCCCAGAAGGGAGGCGATTGTCAACCCTACATACTGTGCTCTTCTTCGGCGAACCGTCACTATCCCCACGCAAATTGTAGCCTGACTATTACTGAGTGGCTTTGCTCGGGAAGGGAAATCGCCAGCCCTGCTGAGAAAAGTCTTCGCTTCCTGGATTCGGTGGGCGGAGTAGCGTTGTTCGTAGGCACGATTTGGATCGAAAAAATTGGATGTAGGGTCGCGGTAGCTTGTTGAACGGTAATAGCTGATTGAGAGGAGGTAAAGAACACTGAATACGCCTAACAATAAGCCCGTTGGATGTAGAGATGATCTACCAGAAATTAGGTGACGAAGACGTGATAGATTAGTCATTTGTGGATTCGCAAGAAGGCCTAAAGGGCCGCCGTGAAACAGGAGACATTAGTAGTTGGGGAGAGAAGGAATTTGAAGAGAGAAACGGAAGGTGAGGATTCAAGGGGTGGGGAGGGAGACAAAGGAAGGGATGATCCAATGCAACCCTTGGGACCATCAGGGAAAATAAGGTTGGTTTAGAACGGCTTAAGCAGTTGACAAGGGACCCCACCCCCAGATTGATCACCAACATTCTAGCCAGCGGGATATGCTGTCACAGACTTCATATGATGTCTACGTGATATTAACACCTCCGTTGCCTAGATGAATATAAGTTGTTATTCAGAGAAGTTTCGTTGGCAGCGGTGACTTCTATTAATGACTTCAGGTATGTCAGAGAGTCCTTTAGAAGACGAAAGTTGCTTGTCAAGTCAGCACTAAGGGTTGGGTTGGATCCGGAGTTATTCCGGTCCGAGGATGCACTAAACCCAGCCACGGCTGATGGACCAATATTGTCCTCTTTACATTGGTCAACATCAGCTTTGCGGCAATCATGGAGGGGCTTTCGAATGATAATAGCCTCTCTAAAGCTCCGCGATCCGGCAATAACTCATCCGCTCCCTCATCAAAGCGGGTCCGCGTCGTTGTTTCGCAATCAAAACGAGGCTGCGTGACTTGCAAGTATGGCATGGTCTTCATCTTGCCATCATGGCACAAAGTCGACTGACCAAGATGCAGGGCACGTCGGGTCAAGTGCGACGAGCAAAAGCCCCTGTGTCGGCGATGCCTTCAAGCTGGTCGAGTGTGCGGCGGTTACAGCCATGAGCCCAAGTCATCATTGTCATCAGCTTTGCAACCTGCTTTGAAATGTGGGGTCACAATGGACAGCCATGCGGAAAGGTTAAGCTATCTTGCAGCTCATGTGTTGTCTCTAGATAACAGAGGCTGTTCTCCGCGAGAAGATAGTGCTTGGGGACGTATATTTCTCCAGCTATCGAGTCAGGTCGAATGTGTCAAGGCCGCCGCGGTCGCTTTCGGGGCGGCGTATGAATCATCGCAGATAAACTTGATCGGCCATCGGCCATACTCCACCTGGAACTATTATGGCCCAGCTCTAGCAAGGCTGCGATCTGATTTTCACAATGAGAGCATCGGTGCAGAGTCCCTGGCTCTGGCATCCATGGTCCTAGCCTACGTGGAGATCCTAAGCCAACACGAGCAAAATGCGTTCACTCATTTCCTTGGGGCCGTACAGATCCTGACGAAGGCCGAGCAGCGTCGCTGGCAAGCTTCATCTGCCGACATTCTCAGTACTATCAAAGATGCACTAGTAAAGATAAACCTCCTCATTGGCAGCTACGGTTTGTCCCAGACACCGCAATATATGTACCTGGACTTTCCCAGAGTACCGACTGGAGACGATGCGTTCTGTGAACCCGAGCTTGCGATTGACGCCGCAATGCACTGCCTTTATCGATCCTATCAGTTCATTGAGCAGGCTTCACACTTGCGATACACGTATACTAACTGGAAAGAGCATGATCCCACCATGTGTAAGGCTCAATCTGATGCGGCGGCTGATTGTCATTTTGTTCTTGATTGCCTTGCAGCGCTCGCCACGCCGCTGCAAGCCCGCTGTTCGTCCGCGACGCCGACGCCGAGAGATTTAGACATGCTGGCTGAGATTTATGCGATTCGGACACAGCTAACATCGGCGTTAATTTTCATCTTGTGTGCTCACAGCCCGTACGAAACTGCGTACGATGAACATCATGACCAATTTCAAAGCATAATAAGTGATGCTGCCGCGTCGGCGCGGCTTAGGCGGCGGACCAAACCCAGTGCTTTCAAACGCTTCTCAACGCGCCCGGGAATTGTTAGCCCTCTCTTTATCGTGAGCATCAAGTGCAGAAATCCGTCACTGCGTGCTTTAGCGACGACTTTACTTAACGAACAAAGCCGCGAGGGGCCTGCCGATGGACGAATCCTGGCGGCCATCGGTGCTCGACTGGCCGCCCTAGAGACGTCTTCCAGTGTTCCTTCTTCTCCCAGCGCTCCTCTGGCTGCCTGCGACATTGTCGAAGGACAGAGAGTGTACGGTTACTCGGTGTCTCCAAACTCCTTGGGAGACAGCCGCCGCGTCGTAGAAGTTATTTTCCAGCGGCCTAACCCCCCTCTCATGCAAGGGTGGGGACATACTGATTATTCCTGCCAGGATGGTTGGATGTACTGGTCAGAAACTATCGAGATATAAGATATTCATTAGCTCAATTGTGCACGGAAGCGGCTGATCGCTATATATGTATGGAGAGACCCATCAACTCCCGCTAAGCTGCTCGCATCCCTGACCCCTTCCTAGTCCTGTGCCGAACACATAACAATATCCATTCAGAACCACATATTATCTGTTTTGAATCGGGTGGTGGTTTATTGGCCTTACGTGTGCATGGGCAATGTATTATCTCGATGTCGGGTCTTTTATTTAACATCCCACGGGGGTCTGATTGATGCCTTCCATTCGCCGTTAAAGTGCTGGTGGAGCTCAGCTCGGTGTTTGTTGCTGCTAAACCGGATTAAGTAAAGACTCGAGGGGTGCATAAGTGGAGATCATCTCGGTCTTTTGACAGTTTATTGATGCTTATTGGTCTGTATGATATATTGGTCGGTAGCCTAGTCTTGCTTACGCTTCCTCTAGTCCTCAATCGAGTATAATCACATTTTGACTTGGCTTGGCCCCGCCGCAGCGCCCTCATATCCGTCAATATCGTTGCAGGATGCATGAGGATGACATCAAAAAGGCAGGAGAGAGACTGGGATGGCTTTTAGCAGTATAGTCAAACGAGTTAGATCTCTTCAGGCACCAAAATAATTCTTAGTCTAGATTACTGGCTGGCTGACTGCCGGGGCAGGTTATTAAGAGGACCGCATCCCGCTCCCTGAGTCTACGATCTCTATCTCTTCGTCTACGCCGTATTCCTCAGTTCTTCGTTAACTCGACGTTTTTAATCACTGCTCTAGACTCAATCACAGAGCGTTGCATATCATGGCCCAGAAAATGGCGATAAACATAGCAGCGAATAGAACAGTCGACGTTACCCTGCGAGCGCTACAGCTCATCTTCGCCATCATCGTCATGGGTACAGACGGCTGCGGTATGAACCCACCAATGCATACAACTCTATCAAGACATCCATTAAGTCTAACTACCATCGCCTAGCTATCCACGTCTATCGCGGCCACACTGACTACGTGCACTTCATATACGGCAACTTCTACGCTTACGCCGGCGTCCCTGACGAGTGGGGCTTCTTGATGTTTTGTGCTGGGTGGACATTTCTGGGCGTTATCTTTCTCTTCTTCACTGCAGGAATCAGCTTCGCAGAGCATGCAGTGATTGGCTCTGTTTCTGTCATTGTTGAGGTTGTGGCTCTTCTCTCATGGCTCGCGGGTTTCATTGCCGTGGCTGTTAATGTGGGGAGTAATCCGTGTCCGGCGGAAGAGAATGACTGTGTGTTGCTCAAGGTTGCAATAGTCTTCGGCGCATTAGAATGGCTGGTGTTTGTGATTACGACTATTCCGACCATAAAGCTTGTCTTTAACAGCACTCGCCGGCAGAAGACATCGACCATCGAGACCACGACACCAGTTTAAGGCACGGGATGATGACATTCCCAGTGAGCAACACAACTATGATTTCCAACACAGATGCCCAAAAACATACTTTCTATGTCTTTTGTATCGTGTTTGTTGAGACGCCTCGAAATAAATAGAGGTTATGCTAGAGCATATACAGAGTTAGTTTCTTCAGTCTGGGCGAACAAGAATATCGGGAATACTGGGAACCTAGTGCATGGGTTTATTCCAGCAACATCCGGTGCCAGAACCAGGATAAGCTCTGCAATCTACTTTTGCGCTACTTTGCTACATAGCCAAGCCATTAAGCTAGTAGGACCCGATTTCCCGGAGTCAGTTGTGAAGTAGGAATATATATACATATATATTATATTTAATCATCACCGAGACTCTAATTTGGTGAAACTCAAAGCCCTATTTATGACCAGTGTCCTTTTACTCATCATCACACCGTCCAGAATGCACGCCGTTTTTTATTCACTTAGCGTAATCAGAAACTTTCACTTTATTTGTGCGAATTAAAGGAAAAAGTACAGAAATGGAAATCAATATATCTACCCACTCCTTGTAGAAAGAAGAGTTTGTACTCTACGTTCGTTACACTCCTTACCAAAAAGAGAAAGAGTGATGCAAAAACATACAACAGAAGGGATTCGCTGGTGGTCACCCACCCAACTACTAACCTCCCGGCGTGTGGCTTAAGTACGGCTGAGCGGACGGGAAGCCCTGTTTTCCACACCCTGTGGTCGTATGTATCAGATTCACGTTGCATAAAGTTAATATGGTTGCCAAATTCTTTTAATTTAAATGTTGTGTTTATTATAACCCTCTTAATCAAATGCAGAAGGGTGGAGGGTTGTCTACTCGGTCCAGTTCCTGAGGCAATGATTTGCCGACAACACCTAAGGAAGTTGCGAATCGCAATGCTTGCATTCAGAATCTTATCAGGCGCTTAACATGGATTGCGATCATTCTTCAGTCCCCGTTTATAGATCAGTTGGAAAGAGAGCCCGAAAGGCACAATTGGTGCATTGAATAAAACTGTGGCATTGTGGAGACTGTGTGAGATATTGAGGAGAAACAATGTGCAGCTTATGGTTATCGGTTAGCTTCATTGTATTGAATAGGTAACAGCGACATCACCCCATGTCTGAGCATAGCGAGCACAGGAATCACAGCCATATAGAACATAGCTACCGTCCATCGTCATTCGTGAGGTTCATCGATATTACCCGACAAAAGCCTGGACATGGCGAGGACAACCACGTTTTAGCCTCTCCGAGGCGCAGGAGGATCGAAAACTTGGAACAGTTCTTGCTGGGAAGGGGCAGCTAAAGTGAAGGCAGGTAAGATAATATTGCTTCATTCTATACACAACTAACTAAGGGAAATGGGTCCTAGCTTAACGGCTTGGCTATCTACTAAAATGACGCAAGAGTTTGCAGAGCTCATATTGAATTGGCCAACCATATATTGATAAAATGAGAAAGTGCACGCCTTTTGAGTTTGAACATGCCTTTGTTTTACCGAGTCCGTACCGCATAAAGATCATGATTCTAAGCCGTCTGACAGGTTCTCGTGCTTAGAAAACATCACCAGGCAAGCACCCTTCACAGATTCGGTTCGCTGCACATAAACAGTCAATCGATACATCAGCATAGAGAGGTATTATCAAGTGTAGTACTACTAGGAGTTTAAACTGTTCACTCGTTGACTGTCGGCCAGACAGAACCGTGCTGTACTTGTACCCATTTATTACCACTAGTAGTATATGTCTGTACAACTTTACCAGCTTCTGGGTGACGCCCATAATCCTTGGTACCAGGTGTGCTCGGGATGACAGATCTGCCTCCGATCTAGTGGGAGTTCAGGTTGCATAGTAATCGGTCCAATGCAAACACCCCCGGACATAGTATATATACACACATTACAGCCGAACATCTTTTACCCCAGTGAACATTTACTTCGAATACTAAGCTTTGAGGCTTGTGTGTTACAGAAAGGTAACACCGAGCTGCGCTGAAAGAGACCGTATATTCAAAGTAGATGACTGTGCACGAGGATTGTATGTATGTCTGTGCGAGTGGTGAATTGTTTTTTAGGGCTAAGCCTAACATCATAGAATACCGTGGGCTGGTAATTCGAGTGAATAGGCCACCTGAGAAACAATTGTAGGTGAGAGAGGTGAGAAGGTCTGCCTTACCTCCTACATGGTCCCAGTTCAGGCATTTTGAGAAACACAGGACCGCCTCTCTCTTTCTCGTCCTCGTGCACCAACCATAACTGCTGCAACACATATAATCTCATTTTCACCATAAAATCTGCTGCAACACAACGAGTGTCTACTGAACGAAACGCCACCCCAACTCTGAACGAAAGATGAGCGACCCAGATGCCAAGAAGAAGACTGAGGAGGTGGAGAAAGACAGCTGGGCTGGTAGCTTCGCACTACCTGAGACCCAAGACGATTGGAAGATGCTGGAGAAATTGGGCAAGTTAAAAAATTCGACGCTACATTCGATTAAGAAGATGGCCTCAGGAAGCAAAGTGCTTCGTAAACAATTTGTTATGTTTCGGACTATATGGCCTTTCCCTCGACCTAGGGATCAATTTTATCAGAGAATTTTTGAATATGGCATTGACGACGCAACTTTGAAACAAGCCATCGAAGTTGTTGATGGATCTAAGGAATTCAAAAGATACCTGGCGTTGATAGAGGCCAAGATACCAGCTGACAACTTGGTCGAATCGGATCCGTTGTGGGCCGGCTCCTTTATGCCCGTCCTACGCTATCAGGAGGACTGCTTGAACTACATTCCGCCGCCCGACACTCCCACCACCAGGAACAGAAAAAGAAAGTTAAGAGGATCCATCCCCTGGCTCGAGACTGGCAACCAAGGTTAGTGAGAAATTGGCCCACTATGTTTTCAGCTCTGATAGCTGATTGCGATGAAAAGAGGTCCCCGGAGGAAAGTATTACGCCTCAGACGAGGCAGTTGTGAACGCTGCGCTTCTACTCTTTTTACAAGCTGTTACAGGCCTGTCCGGCAATCATGATGTGAAGTGGACCATTGAACGCGTCTCGTTTCAACTGGATTTTACTAACGCTCGATTTACAACAATCACCGACGGCGCCATGGTGACCAAGAATAGTGGTAAAACTCGGGGTCTTTGCGAAGTAAAGAGAAAACAGCTCGGTCATACAGATCAAAGCGCGGCAACGGTTTCTATGCAGGAGACGGCAGAGCTAGTCGGGCTGATCAAGAAAAACGGTTCCACGGTATTCCTGAATGGCCAGTAAGTGTTGCTGCACTTGGAACTGTATTGTTTGAATGTATGCTAACAACAGCAGTCACCTCCTAACTTCGCAGTACGCGAACGAGATCTATCTCCTATTCGCAAAGGCGCAGGTGTCATACCATGAATACCTCAAAAAGGGAGCAATTGGTAATGATGACTTCTTAGTCATCCAGAGATGTGGCCCCTGGCGGGTGAACGATCCAGCCTGTATGGAACAATTGGCTGTCATCATTTTAGCCATTGTTTTGCTGGCGGACAAGGCTCGATTCGTTAGTTGAGATACTGAAATTATGGGAGCGAACCAGTAGTTACGTTTGCTTTGGACGCCGGCGATTCATTCCTTTCGGCGCTTGGTCAGATGCGCAGCAATATGGGTTGTTTTGTTAAGAGGATCTTTTCTCAGTCTTAGAAAACACTCCCGAGAGATGTACCGGCGTTTGTTGAAGCGTTTGCACGGCCCAGTGAGGTTATGAAATGCATTGATGCGTCGATGCATCAGAACCGAACGCTGAACTCGTCAATGGGATGGGCTTTAGCATTTGAATAGTTGTGACATGTATTTCTATCTAGTATTTCACTTTGTATGTGATTCAGAATGCGAGGGAGAAGGATATTGTACACAAACAAAACATAAACTCAGCAACCATAATGCACATAGAGCCAGTTCACCCCAGTTTACATTTCAAAAACGCGCAAAAGCAGAAGCTTAGACAGAGGGCCATCCGCCAGACCAGTTAATGACATTCCAGCCAAACTGCTTGTCGCCATCAGCATAGCCGATGTCAGTGTTGAGGTAATGGTAGTAAAGGATCGGTCCGTATTCAGGATCATCAAAGACACCCTGGCCACCAGGTGCGTAGACGTTATCGTGACTTTCTAAAACGGGAGTACCGCCGTTAGCCTGGCAATCATTGCCATCTTTATCGACCTATTTGTTTGAATCAGCGTTAGAGAACAAACCACCAGAACCCATAACCTGGAGAAACTTACAAATCCACCGGTAGCCTTGGTGCTGCGACAAACCATAATCTTATACTCCTCGCCAGGGGCCGGGCGATCGGTGTCAAGGCCACAGCATGTACCCGACGAGAAAAAAAGATAGTAGTAGTTACCGTGCTGGTACATGTATGCTCCTTCTTCGGCCTGACTTCCCGTGGAGTTGAAGGCAAGGTTGTATGCAGAGCTGCCAGCAGACCTGGTTCCCGCTGCGTTCATCGGAACTTGGTAAATGTCGTCGTAGAAAGAGCCAAAGTTCATGTAGAAAGCCCCATCAGCTTTGATGAGATTGGGATCAATGGCATTGTAAAGCTTGCCACTGTGAGAAGAAACGCCGATCGATCCGTGGTCAGTCCAGGTGTTGAGCTCCATGGTAGGGGAGGTGGCGAGGCCGATGGCAGAATTCTGGGTGCCGAACGTGGAGACCGCATAGAATACGTAGTAGGTTTGCTCGATGTAATGAATATCGGGTGCCTTTATTGACACAGGGTATTAGCAATGTGAGGCAAACAGTAGCGTAGCGTACAGTCTGGACTCCGCAACTGACCCACAAGTCTGTGTTTCCAGCGAGGTTGATCTTTGAACCAGCAGGGACAACAGATCCAACCCCTTCCCAGGGGCCGTTCAGGGAGTCCGAGGTGGCATACGTGATCTCACCACCAGTGGAAAAGCGGAAGTATTTGCCATCGGATACGCGACGCATGAGACCAGGGTCACTAATGACACATAGACCCGAGCACGGCTCAGGGTTGGCGTAGGCATAGGCCAAGCCGGGGAGGATGGCGAGGGCTGCAAGATTCAAAAACATGGCTTGAGAAAGAGGCAGAAGGTGATGTAGTACTTAGGAAAGCAGTC